AGATATTTAGCTTCAGTAATTCAGATGCGTGTTTAAACGGCTACCTCAGCCACCCTGGTTTGCTCTATGGGATTCCTCTGATATTCCTGTAATATTTCTATGATATTGCTCTACCTTTTACCCTGTTTCCGCCCTACCCCTGTGATCAATAAAGTTCTCCTTTGAGATCCGTGTGGGAGACTTATTGACGGGTGGGACTAAATTATGCCCAGGGAGGCCCCTTAGGTCTGTGGACTAAGGGAGGCTTCCTAATCAGCCCCTGACTTGGGGAGGTGCCCCAAGTGCTTGTATTGGGTCTAGGACCCATTGGACGATCAGGCCTGTGTTTTCCAAGGTGCGCAGAGCCAGAAGTGAGTCCAGAGCCTTGGATGGTGGCAGCGGGAACCCCAGGCTAGCGGGTGTGCTCCAGGGAAGGGGTCGGCCGGACGGGAGGCATCCCAGGGAGGCACTCGGAGCCTGGAAGGTGGGCGGGAGCAGGGAGGTGGGCGGCTCAACGTAGGAGCGCCCCCTACTGGCCCGCCACAGAAGGTAGGTACAGTTCATTACAGTACAGAGGTAGTAGTTCTGCTACTGCCTGTGCAAGGCGCTTGGGGCTGCTGGCTCCTGCACTAACTTCAGCACTGTTTGATTGTAGAGTTGTAGGAGTCCGGCAGGAAGGGAACCTCATACATGCCCAGACAGGACCCAGGTTTGGGACACACACACCCCCCCCCACCCGAGGGCGGAAATTTGCTGGTGGGGAAGGCTTGGTCCAGACTAGATCAAGCTTCCAGCCTATGCTCCGTCACCCCCACCAAGAAAACCATTGGTGACGCTGTGTTGGTCTGTCTGCAAGTGACCATTGGCAAGTGTGTGTTCATTGGTTGTGACCAGCATTTGGGTATCCCCGGGGTTGTGCGTCGTCTGTCCATCTACACTGCTCTGCTTCTTATGGCTCCAGCAGAGATGCTCACGTCTGCACAGCAGATATCCAGCCACAGCCACAAGAATGCCAAGCCCTATGAGGACTATGCTCCAACGGGGAAAACTTCCTGCACCTGAAAGCCAATTACCCCAGTCAGAAGTGGGAGCCCAGGGGTTACTCCAGAGTCTTAGCTTCTGCCCAGAGGAGCTCTCAAGTGCTCCAGGGAAGGGTAAATCCCACCCCACTACTTACCCTGGTCCCCAGGGATGATGCTGTGGGGAGATCCAGATCCATGCACAGTTGGTGGGAGTGAGGTGGGTTCTGGAAGAGACACAAGGAGAGGGGGTGACGGGAAGGTTGGGCAGAGGGAGGCTGCAGAATACTGTCATAGCATCATAGAGACACAAGGCTGGAAGGCACCTCCAGAGCTCAGATTCTATCACAGGGATAGAATCCTAGAAACGTGGGGCTGGAAGGGATATCAGAGTCATAGACAGAGAGTCAAAGAGAAGTGGGGCTGGAAGGGACCTCCAGAGATCACATCCAGTCCAACCCCCTTCCTGATATTACATAGTAAGTTTAAAAAGCACTGCAACCTAGACAGAAAGTCAAAAGATAGTGGGTTTTTTTCAGTTCTGTCACTCTCATTGAACGTACATCTCTTACTGAGATTCATGAAACCAAGTCTAGCCTCCTTGAGCATCTGGATGGTGCCTCCAAAACTTTGGGATCAGTCATGTGTACCCCTGGGTGAACATGACCACACCTGAGTGAAGGTTTTTAGTTAGAGCTAAAGAGTGTGCATGGCTCCAAAATAGAAGAGAAATATTAAGAGCATGGGCAGATGAAGGATTTAGAAGGGGGAGTGCAGAGGGGTTGGTGCCTCATCACACCCCCCCCGCCCCCAAACAGAACAAAATAAAACAAGTTTTTTCTCCGGTTAAAGGACAACCAAATACTTGGGTAATACACCAGGGGCCTGGCACTATAGCATTCACCCACAGATAAGAGTAGAAACACATAGATACTGGAGTGTGCACTAGATTCTATACAACCCTAGCAATAATTTGCTAGATTATATATGTAGGTTTAAGAGAAAAACATAAGAAACTAGGCGAAAAAGAGCCAAAATAGTCCAAAGCTATTGTGTCATTAGTCCCGTAGTCATTATAATTGTATATCAATCTCCAATTCAGATTCATAAAAATCTCGCCTCCTTGAGCAGCTTGACAGTACCTCCAGTACTTCACAGTCAGTCCTGTCTACCCATGTTCATGTCACCACCCGCGAATGCAGGTTTTTAGCTAGAGCCACAATTAGTCTGTAGGGCTGCGATAGAGGAGAGATGTGACCAGGCAGGGCCAACAGACAGCAGAACTGGTTAGTGGAAGATCAAGACCAGAGAAAAGCTTCATTACTAGGAAGGGCTGACAGACAGTTACAAAAGACGGGTGGCTTGATCAGTGGAAGATCAAGAGCGCTGGAAAGGAGGGCAGGAGATTCATACCTGTGGAGAGAAGAGATTAGCAGGAATCAGAAGAGGTGATCGTGCAGTCAATGGGCTCCCTCACAGCTGCCTGGATAGAAGTGTCCCCGTCTCTCCCCCCACCCAGTCTACCCCTGCTGTGGACTCCTTACCAGGCAGCACCAATGTGATGTTGGCCAGGAGACTGTTGTCCAGAGAGCACCTGATCTCGTAGTGCCCACAGAGCTGCTTGACCATGCCCTGGACTGTGAAGGCACCATCCCCCAGAGTGAAGTTGCTCAAGCCATGAGAGACAGATCCCTCTGGGCGCCAGACCAAGACATTTTTTGGATACGATGTTCCCACAAGCCATGCACGGACTATCACTATGCAGCTGGGGGTGTCCAGGGGTACACGAGTGGCTCCCCCCTCCGGCATGATGCAGTACCAGGCAGGGACCCCTGCAAGGAGACATTGCTGTGGTCAGGCCCTCATGGGGTAGGAATGGACAGGAGCAGAGAAACCCTGCACCCCAGAAATTTGTGGGGGTTGACATAGGGGGAAGGGCATGAATGACTGGTGCCTCTCAACTATGGGGTGTGGCACAAGTTTTAGGCGGCAGCCTCAGTGACAGGGTAGCCATCTGCAACTGTCCGCAGATGCTGCCAGCAGTG